AAGCCAAAAAATCAGATTTACTCAACTATGTAAATTTGTTTACAACAACAACAACATTACCCTAGTGCCGCAAAAGCTCCCACCAACGGTGGGGTAAGGGGGTCAGATGTACGCAGCCTTACTCCTATACTAAAGCACAGAGAGACTGTTTCTGGAAACTAGATATTAGAGACATTCAAATTATTGATAAGTGAAACTGAAAAAATTACACTCCTAGATAACATTTTGCCTTGGAGTAAAAGGTGAGAAGAAATTGAGCAAGCAACAAAGAAAATCTGATCGGCCTCCAATTTTTAAGCCAAAAAACACAACAAAAGCGAACATAATAGCGCTACTTTCATGATTATGTACACAACATAATCAAAAATTGATAGATATCGAGGACATGCGCACAAAATCAGTGGTAATAGAAACATGAAAAAATTCCACTTTTTGTCCCATGACTATTATACCACTTCCACATTTAGTCCCTTACTTTCAGATTGTCAACATTTAGTCCGTGACCATTATCCCCTCACCACCCCTCGTCCTTCTGTCCAAAATTCCGACAAATTTAGTCCACTTATGAGCCTCAGAATCAGTCTTTGCATTAAATTTTATATAAGGTTGGGTTTTTCATATCAGTCTTTGCATTAAATTTGGGTTTTCATACCTAAAATCCGCATTAATTTTGCCGGAAATTTGGTCGGAAGGACGAGGGGTGGTAAGGGGATAATGGTCACGGACTAAATGTGGACAATCTGAAAGTAAGGGACTAAATGTGGAAGTGGTATAATAGTCACGGGATCAAAAGTGGAATTTTTTCTAGAAACAAAGTACTGTGTAATTGATAATATTCCCTCAGCCATCGTATAAATTCCTTCCAACGGACAGATAAGGTGGCATCGCACAACAAATACCGCTGATTTCACAAGTTAACAATAGATATGGACAGATTAAAGCCCAAAAATTGACGATTCGATGGACAGAAAACAAGGTTTGAAAGAAATCAGATGAAAACCAACGAAGATCAACCCTCAACAGAACGACAGCATGAGAGATCATTGGATGAACCAATGGTCTTCTATATGTGTTGTACAGCAAGTGAAGTACAACACATCTACTGAGAAAATGTGAACCGTTAGTACTAAAATTTAATTAAGTTAACATTAATGAAGAGGTAGAGAACTAGGGAAGTGGAGATAATCGTCAAAAAAATGCATTTACTGAGCTTACACAGAACAAACTTATAAGTTCATTCCTGAACTAAATAAAACTCTACTAATTTAAAGTAGCAATTGTTTACTTTCTATTTTTAATAGTCGGTGAACACGATTCTCAAAAAAAAATAGTCGGTGAACTTTAACTTATTATATCATTCCATATTAGTACAATAAAATTGAATTAATGTAACTGGGGTAATTAATTCAAGAGCTGACAGAATAATAAGATTTAGTGATGAAGGCTAAAGCAAGAGGCCATTAAATATTAGTGTTATTGTTGATTTTACACTTTAGTTCAACGAAAATGATATCTAGGTTTCTACTTATCTACTACAAATTGTCTACAATCAAAGCCTAGAGGGAGAGATACTACAAATTGAATAACTAGCAGTTTATTTGTATCACATGTTTAGTACTTCTGAAACAAAATTTTCTTGGCAAAAATAATATCAAAATCCCATAAAACAATCAAACAAACAAACATTATGCCTTCTGCAATAATCATACGTGGAAACAGATTCGATTAAAGTGAGAAAAACGAGCCTTGACATAAAAAGTATGGTGGAAGTAAAGCACATACCTTCAAAATTAACGGGCATGAGTCGCGCGGCTGCGTTACAGTGTGAGTCCGGTGGCTGCGTGACAGCGCGAGTCCGGTGGCTGCGTGACAGCGCGAGCCCAGTGGCTGCGTCACAGTGTGGTCAGGGGTTTCTGTAACTACAAATATTTTGATAGATGGAAAATTTGGATCATGATTTTAAATAGTATAATATTATTGAAAATATAAATGTTATACTTTTATGAAAGTAGTTTTAACCAAGAACATTTTCATATCATTTTTTTATAATAAATAATTTCCAATAAAAATATATAGTTGGTCAAAGTTTTAAAGATGACTAAGTACTTTGGGACGGAGGAGATAAATAAGAACATCTACTTTGAAATGAGTATATGTGATATTTCTCTTTATCTTTATATACCTAAAAGCACTACATATGAGTGAGAAAGCTTTTCTTGCCCATTGTATCACCTAATTATTAGAACGGCTGGGCTAATAGGTAATTTTGCCTTCTGCCCAAAAACACACTCCCTATTCCAGAGGAGAGCTGGATCTCTTGTGAAACAGAAAAATAAAATCAACGGGGTAAACCGTTGCCCAGATAATCAACGATAAAAATACCGTTGCCCAGAGCCAAAAGGCTAAAATCCAACTTTATTCCAAGATGAGCCAGAATGAATCCTAACAAGGGGTTTAAATACCCATCTACTAATTCCCAAACTAGCAAACAAAATCCTAGAAATCCTAATCAACTCCAACTAGGAAATAGAATAAAAAAAAGATCCTAATCAACTTCAAATAGGAAACAAATAATAGAAATCCTAATTAACTCCTAATAGGAAACAAATATTAGAAATCCTAATTAACTCCAAATAGGAAACAAATCAGGAAAATTAAAAAGAATAAATATTAATTAAGCAGCCCGCAACCAGCCCACGAAGGTGGCCTCAAGCCCGTTCCCGCCTTCAGTAAACCCACGAGGGCTTCTGCCCCTCTTCTTCCAAGCCCAGATTCTGCTTCATATCAATTTTATCCCGCTTCGAAAAAACCATGACCTCAAGGTTGAAATCCGGAAACCGGTTGATATTGTCTCCGGGGACTGCCCAGTATCTTTAGGAAAGCTGCCACTAAATCTTTTCAGCCCGTTCATGAAATACCCCAAATAATGATCGTCAAATAGCCTTGGGACCTGACTTGTTAGTTGAACAAAAATTGAGATGTACTCCGCCACAGTCCTTGTCTGCTTGACTTCATACAGTCGTTCAAAGCAATTGCCCTTAAACTGTGAGTCATAACGAGCCATCAACGCCTGTGTAAGCTCATCCCATGTCATGCCCGGCTTTCGTGCCCGTATCCAGGTCAACCGGTATAGGGCTAACCCTTCCATCACAACTACACTGGCTGCCACCTTTCCCGGCGGAGTACAGTTCAGTTCGAACGGATGCTCAGCCCTAGCAACCCTGCCGATCGGGTCTTCTCCGTCAAACGAGGGCAGCATCGTGAGAGAAGTGTTGCACTGACAAGTTCCGAACGTGGATGTTGATGTTGCATCGAGTGAAGCCACCGCCGATGAATTCTCCTCCGTCGCTGGCGGCACGAGAGCCTTCGTGAGTGCAGCCAAGGAGGATGTGATCTCTGCCAGTAGGATTCCTTGTGCGTCCAGCTTCGCACCCCTCGCGTCTAGTTTTTGGTTCATCAAAACCAGTTCGGCCTCCACCTCTAACAAACGTTCACTAGTTGATCTCGTCATTCCAGCGGGAACGGGATCCGGCAGGTCAGACCAATTGTTGTGAAACAAAAAAATATAATCAACGGGGTAAATCGTTGCCCAGATAATCAACGATAAAAATACTGTTGCCCAGAGCCAAAAGGCTAAAATCCAACTTTATTCCAAGATGAGCCAGAATGAATCCTAACAAGGGGTTTAAATATTCATCTACTAATTCCCAAACTAGGAAACAAAATCCTAGAAATCCTAATCAACTCCAACTAGGAAATAGAATAAAAAAACATCCTAATCAACTTCAAATAGGAAACAAATAATAGAAATCCTAATTAACTCCTAATAGGAAACAAATATTAGAAATCCTAATTAACTCCAAATAGGAAACAAATCAGGAAAATTAAAAAGAATAAATATTAATTAAGCAGCCCGCAACCAGCCCATGAAGGTGGGCTGAAGCCCGTTCCCACCTTCAGTAAGTTAAGTTGCAAGCTTCTGCCCCTCTTCTTCTAAGCCCAGATTCTGCTTCATATCATGATCCTTCTGTAGCCGGTACCAACCCAAAAACACAAGCTTTAGCGACACCAGCCCACGGCCCAACCGCGGATTGATGAAGATATTGTTAAGTGAAAAAACCCCGCCATACCCATTAAAGTTAATAGAGAAGGACCTCATTACCAATTTTCTCATGTTCCTTTAAGCCCTTCGACAACAGTAGATCACTAGTCCTTTTTTGGTTTGGTGATATTGTTGCTTCAATTTTATTTGGTGATATTCCTAATATGTATTTTTTAATATATCTTTTATACTTTTTGGAAGGTTGCAACTTCCTTACTCTTGGTCCGTTGGGATCAGTGTTCTCCTCTCGAAGTGGAGGCCACGGATTTTGATCTCATTACGATCAAGGATGTTGAGACTATCATTGAACATATACTATAATAGGTTAGAAGAGTTTCCCAAAAATGAAAAAAATGGTTTCTTATTATATATTGTAATCGCTCTTCTCAAATGAAATCCCAAACCAATCAAGATGGCTTCAAATTACCCAAACCAAAGGCTACTAAATGTAAAAGGAGTATCTTATCCACAGAAAAGTCTATTATGAAACACTAAATATGGGCAATTCAGAAATTGAAAACCTAGGTTTCTTGTAAATGATGCCATCAACTAACACTAACAAGTATGCAAAACCCTTCTACTAAAACCCAGCAACCTTGCCTAAGCCTTAAAAATGAAATATTTCTTAGATTTCAAATGTTTTCATTACTCAATCAGAATTCTCACTTAAATCAATTGAATGTGTAAAACTGTAGATCAATTGTTTACACAAAACAAAACAAAACAAAACAAAACAAAAATAAACAAAAACAAAGTCTTGTTATGCGTTACCAGAAAACCCGGGTTGTATTCAGTATACAAGAAACCTCAATACTTGTAAATAAAAATGATGTCTTCTTATTCACATGAGGACTTTCGGAGAATAAGAGAAGTAATTAGGGATGTTAGTATAGTAAACCTGGACTTGTTATCTCTTTCAACTTTTCTGATTTGCTCGTCCTGCTCAATGCCCTGAATGGCAGTAAATTCCTCAGGGGCGTCGAGGTCGCTATCCTCTTCCCTTTCCGACATCGCGATTTTCTTCTTCTGCTCCTCACACTTACAGGGTTTAGTGTTATCGTTACCTTCAGATATGTGATGGGCTGGGCAGGACCGGTCCAATTATAGTAATACTGTATTAGTATAGTACCCACAATTTAATTAAATAATGCATACCCAGGGGAAAAATCATTTGGTGCATATATTTTTACACATGATTTAATTAAATATTAAAATAAAATTACTTTGTAGAATTCATCATTTTTGAAAAATAAGAGTACAATAAGCTAATACCATAAAGTATAAGCTCATTAAATACATATTCAATGAAGAGTATATTAAGAAAAATCAATTGACACCATTCATTAGAATTTACTCGGGTACTATTTATAAATTTTCAGGATTAAATTAAATTTAAAATTAAATACTATTCTGAAAAAGTGAGAAAAATAGGTGAGTGACATGAAGTTTAAGTGAGTAGAATAATTATTACAATTAATGAATAGTATTAGTTGAAAAAGAAATTGCTACTCATTAGTTAAATTAGAACTAAGATATGAGAGAGAGAAAATTATTCTGCTAAATACTCAACCAGTTTCTCTTACGCCTAAAAGAACTATATATCACAGAACATTGTCCCACTCGATCAATTGTTAGTCAGATTAGCTTATACCTAAAAACACTACATATGAGAGAGAAAATTATCCCGCTCCATTCCCTCACTCAACTGTTAGCAACTTATCTTCTAATATCTAAAAGGAGTACATATGAAAGAGAAAACTCTTCCGCTCAATTATTAGCATTATTATCTTCTTGTACCTGAAACTCTTACATATAAGAGAGAAAGTTCTCACGCTCAATTATTAACTGACTTACCTTATACCTAAAAGTACTACCTGTAACACCCCGCCCCGTAGGGCTCAAGGTACTTACTCCAAACCTCTAGTACTATCCTCACAAACTACCACAAAATTAATCTCAAGTGTAACACTACATATGATAGGGAGAAATTGTTCTGCCAAATTGTGGTCAGCTTATCTTATACTTAAATGAACTATATATGATAGAGAAAGTTCTTACGCTCAATTGTTAGCTGGCTTATCTTACCTTGTACAAAAACACTACATATGAGAGAGAAAATTCACTTGCTCAAATGTTAGCAAGCTTATATTCTTAGCTTCTTATACCTAAAAGCAATACAAATGAGAGAAAATTATTCCGCTCAATTGTTAGCCGACTTATCTTATACTTAAAAGAACTAAATATTAGAGAGAAAGTTATATCACTCAACTGTTAGTAAGATTATATTCTAATACTCCCTCCGTCCCGAAAAGGTTGGCCAAATTTCCTTTTTTGGATGTCCCAAAAAGATTTGTCATTTCCATTTAAAGTAAGTAATGTGTGGCTAAAATTAATTCTCTCTCCTCTGCACAAATTTCAACCACGCATTTTTTACTTTATTAATCCACGTGAAAGTCTACTTTGGCCAACCTTTTCGGGACGGAGGGAGTACTTAAAAGTACTTCTGGGGATATTTTATATAAAAACAATGATTTGATGTTGAACGATTCACTCCCAAATCTGAATGGGTCTCAATTAGCGTTGGACCGATACTGGACCGACCGGGCCGGCCCGCTACTGTGCGGGCCCGGTCCGACCAGCTATTGTGCGGCCCGGCCCAGCCCGGGAGTCGGATACTGGTTCCGGGCCTAGGATCGGCCCGGGGAGTTGGGGCGGGGCGGTTCCGTGTTGTCCTTCCTTTGCAACCAACCAGGCCGAGCAGGGCCCGGTTCAGGCCTTTTTTGTTTTTTCAATTTTGTTTTTGTTTTCCCTAGATGGGTTGGGTGTTTGGGGGGGAGGGGGGGTTTGGGGGTGAAGGAGGTTAATTAGAAAAGCAAAAAAAATAGGCCCGGCCCAAGACCGGGCCTTCCCCCATCAATAAAAAGCCCGCCCAGGACTACCTACGGTGGGGTAAGGGGGGGTCGGATGTACGCAGTCTTAGCCCTGTACTAAAGCACAGAAAGACTATTTCCAGATGACCCATAGTGAAAATCCCGACCAAAATTGCATGTACTGACTGTTGCTTCATAACAAAGAAGCACAGACAGTTTAGTGAGTCATTTTTCTTTATTCCATCATAATCTCAAGCCAAAAAATAATAAATCTTTGGCTCCATTGCAAATGATGGAAATCACCACCACATAGTCGAACCATAAATAAAAATTAATCTATTCTTGAAGTACATCGATTACAAGAAATAGAAACGGACATTCCTCAGGACAATAACAACGAGCGAGGATTTTGCTGATTCATTTTCAAAGGTGCACAGATGAAAATAAGCCTGTAAACAGCCCTTGCTTCAGCATATGGTCATCACTTTCCCCCTTCCAAGAAGAGGAATCAAACCATTCTTGAACTGCCTTTAATTTTATTGATTATAAAATCTCCAAAACCAGCACCTATATCCACTATTCTTGAGTCTGGCTTTATCTCCGCCTTATTAATTTCTTGAAATAAATCTCCCAAACCTAGAGGATCATCCTCACAAATCTGACCTATGATTCCATCCCATGTATCAATATGCAGAGTGTTTCCATGTTTCAACAACACCTCCACCGCCTCACATGCTTCTTCAATCTTTCCTAGGCTAACAAATCCCATTACCAATGTATGCACCACCGAAAAGTGCAGAAGTAATCCTTTTGAAACCATCTCCTTTACATAAACTTTAGCCTCATCGTACATTCCTTGATTGCATAACCCTAGAACCAAGATTCTATAAGATACCAAATTGGGTAGGCATCCATTTGCAGCCATTTGCTCGAGCACCTTGCAAGCATCAAGGGCACGGTCTTGTCTACAGAACCCGAAAATGACAGTGTTATAATGAACCATGTCGGGGTTGCAGCCTCTCACCTTCATTCTGCAGAGTATCTTGAAAGCCTCTCTGAGCTGTTTCTTTCGACACAAACTGTTCAACAAGGTGGTGTAAATAAAAGCATCGGGAATGAACCCTTTGTTGAGCATATCCTCCAGCAAAGCAACGGCTCTGTTCACTTGGCTCTTCCTGCATAACCCTTGGATCAGGATTCGGTATGACTCGACATCAGGCAAAACGTCTCTTGTGAGCATTTTACTGAACAGTGAGTAGGCAATGCTTAAATCGTCGTTGAAGCAGAAGGCTCTCATGAGAATGTTATAAGATGTCGTGTTGGGCAAGACTCCATACTGTTGAGCATATTTAAAGAGGTCAAATGCGGGACGAATAAAATGAGGGTGGGCAACGAGGATGTGGAGGATTTGGTTTAGGTGTTGGGGACGAGGTCTCAAGTTGAACTCCAAGATCGTGTAAAAGGTTTTGAGGGCGATTTCGGGAAGTCCGACAGCAGAGAAGATGTGTGAGAAGCGGCGAGAAGGGCCGAGTTTGATGATGAGGGAGTGGAATGAAGCATAAAAGTGGCGGAAGTCATCAGGGTGGCGTGATGCCAAAGCACAGATTTCTTTGGCAAGCAGCAGGGGGTCTGACTGTGATGCAATCAGTTTGTGGATTCGAGCCGCGGGCCCGACAGAGAGCTTCTCTTGACAATTAGGGGATGAGGAGAAGGTTGAAGAGGACAGGGCGGTGCGTGGTGCTGATCCCTGGTGACACATAAGAGACGAACTGGGTGCATCTCACCTCCACTTCCTTCCCTTCTCCCAATTCATTTATAACCAAAGATCGGGAACAACCTGTCATGCCAAAGTAAATTTGAATTGTTAAGCTGATTAATAAAATGCGTAGTAAATAGAGATAAGAAAAGGTGAAATAGGTTAAGCTCATTAATAAAATGCATAGAAAATTCTCAAAAGAGTGTACTTGTAAATTTATTTCCCAAACAAGAATATTTTTGCCTATCCTTTGAATCTTTGATATCTTTATATATAAAGAATAGTATGGTTGGAAACCAAATATTTTATTCTCCCTCCAAAAAAATGACATTATTGAAGTATTTAATGAACTCTTATAATTAATCAAAAATAATTAAACTTAACATAAAGAATAATCAATTTAAATAATAATACCAACATTAATTCCATATGTGAAATACTTCAAGATTATTAACTCTAAAGTAGTTTATAGATATTGATATTTTAATCTTTTCTAACATCATATTTTTGGATGGTCTATTGATAATAAGGGTATAAAAAAAGTGACTTTAATAACAACATATAAGAGATGAATAAGAAAATGGTTATGGTAAGTTGGTAACAATAAATAAGGAAGGCGCTTTTAGGAAATATAATCTATCTCTATACAAAAGAAGGTGGATTTTCTGGTGGGTTTCCCGCCCAAACTTCCGGGTCAGGTACCAAAAACGGGTAAAGATACATTTCTGTAGTATAGGTCTGGCCAGATACAAGCATACATTTTGAAAATTAGAGATCATTTAAATGACTATTTAAAAAACTAAAATGTAGATCATAGACTACCCCATACCAATTACAATCCAGATGCAAATTTAATACAAATTGTCTATAAGTCGACGTATGTATGACATTTTAGTACAATCGATCTCATTTTGATGAGATCAGAATATGGTTAAATCATTTATGGTATGCATATTTACTTTACTGACCATCAAATGTAGTTAAACTCAAATGTTTTATCAATGTCCATCAAATACGACATACACATATGATATTGTAAACTTTTGTGGAAATCAAATATTTGGACTGTAAGGAATCAGAGAAAACGAAAGCTCTCTTCAGGGAAGAAGAAGATGAATCGAGAATTATTAAAAATTAGGTCTTAGGCTATTTTACAGTTTATTTATATCTAATACTAAAAATAGAATAGGATAATAAAAGACTAATATTTGCAGTTTAGTCCTTCAGCTCTTGGTCTTCATTAATTTGACCTCCTTGATACCCCCCCTCAAGATGAGCATGGATATCCAACAGGTTCATCTTGACAGTAAAATCTTTAAAGAGTGGATTTCCAAGGGCTTTAGTATAAACATCTGCAAGTTGACAATTATTTTTTATAAGTACAAGATTAATTAAACCAGTAGATATTTTTTCCCTAATAAGATGACAATCAAGTTCAATATGTTTTGTTCTTTGATGTTGTACTGGAT